GCCACCAAGAATTGAGGCAGTTCTGAAGGCAAAAGGGGGTCCAACCCGTTACTAGCATGGGGTACCTAATAAAGTGGCCGGTGAGTGTATAACTTGGACCAAAGCCACATAATAGATGATCTTTACTTCCATTGGACAGAAATGAGTGAGGTGATAAAGGAAAGACCAAATGGAGTCCTAGCTGTAGCTCTGTTGTTCTGCATATTTATGGTGTTATTTATTGAGTGTCAAGAGCAGCTCATTTAGTCCAGGTTTCATGTATAATTTTCAAATTAAAATGGATCAAGCTACAAGCCTGACGAGATACTCGGCATGCTGGCAAGCAGCGTTACTTAGCATAATACAGTGGACCAGGTATGATTTAAGGCTATGCTGACAGCTATGGTGGCTTAGATGATCGTAAGATGATTTCACTGAATTAAATATATTTGAAGATGTTCCGTTTGACACAATACAATAAAAAAGAATAAAACAGAGTTGTTCTTTTTTTTACTTTTGCCCCATATGCATGGATTTGTTTTAGGTGCAATATCTGAAGGTTATGAAGAGATGTCTTAAAGTTATAATTTTAAGTGCAACAACGTTTATGACCGACACCAACAATAGGTAAAATATGCATTTGACAACTTAGAGTAAATATTGGAAAATATCTAAAACAATATCGGGCTGTATTTAGGACATATCATATAAAATTAGTTCAGTGGCAATATGTTGTCAAAGCATAAAAAAAAAACATTAAAAAAGAAGAGAAATAAATCAAAAACATTAAATCAAAAGACAAATTGTAGAATTGCATTTATCAGTAAACACTTTTAATAATTTTTTTTATTTTCAAAATATAAAAGCCCTAATCTTCAGCAATGGAAATGACACTTGATAAATTGTTCATTGCCATAAAAATGACAATAATACTAAGCCTAGACTTAAATATAGGTCGACTGAGCTTGAGCCTAAATCTCTTTGTAATCTTCTACTAAATGAAATACAGTCGCAGTACTCACGGCCGAGCAGGTTGTCACATCGTCCTTTGGTCTTGTCTTTCTTTTTAATGACATTCCGTGCATTGAAAAAACTCTGCAAAAGTCAAAATTTACAATTTCAATTCCAGTACGCCGAAGGCTGACGGTAATATAATTAATAAACAGTTGCTGCCTACATTCAAACACTTGAGAACCTAGTTTTTCAACCTATTTTTTTCTATCGCTTAGTTAGCTTTAAAATGTGATAAATAAACAACAAACTCAACATAACTTACAATAAAGATCAGAAATATAAGGATTTTTTTCTAATAAATTCCTGTGTGTTACACAAAGGTCTGTTTGGCTTTCAAATTAGTGAATTTTGCCAAGTCATCAACAAAACTCTTCACAGAGATGGTAAAACTGCACTCAACCTCTTTAGACAGAAAAAGGTTGTCTGGTCAAAGACAATAGATGCTAAAAGTGATGAATAAACATCCCAAGATAAAACCCAAAAGTCTAAAGGAAAGGATTTTGATGATTCAAGCTCTGCTGTATTCCTTTGCATTCATCTTGACTGATCTCTCCTATTTACAGTTAGTAATATTAAGGTTCTAATATCAAGACCTGCCGTCTCCCAACTGCTGAAAGCTGATAAACCCTGAGGGAAACTAGAAGAACTTGAGATTAGGTAGAGCTGGATGAAAAAATAAGACACATACAAAGTGCTATATATATACACTCACCGACCACTTTATTAGGTACACCTGTCCAACTGCTCGTTAACACTTAATTTCTAAGCAGCCAATCACATGGCGGCAAC